CTAGCGAGATTCTATTGTATGTAGTAGATAAGTGTTTTAAAACAATTTAGAAACTTTCTTTATTCCTGGGAAAGTTAAACTCCACTTCTCATCACTTTTCAGAATTGACGTCAATGTTGTCTTTTTGTATTCAGCCAATCAATTACTGACAACTCAGCTTTTTGATACTATGTGCCCCCCACCTTTCTTTTTTCTGTTATATTAATTTTCTTCCCACTAATAAACTTGAGAGATTGATTTCAACTATCACTGTGTGTATGTGTATGTCTGTTTGTCTTTCTGATGATGAAGTCAATCTTCCCGACGCGTCGTACCTTCAACAGCCTGATAAAGACTGATAGCCAGGGGCTATCGACAACCTTTCAATTGGAGGTCCCACCGAGATCGGGAGGTCAACCCGTTTGCGGTCACCCGGTAAGATAAACAAAATCTGTCTGTCTGTCCGGCTGTCCGTGGGCTCTGACTAAACTCTCAATCTCTGAACTGTGACAGGAGTATTCTGGGAATACTCCATTGAGTCTCTGGGAGACTCAGATAAGGAAAGGTGATTTATGTAGACGGGGTCTACATTTTAAATACCTAGACGGGGTCTAGGTATAATTACAGAGTCTTAACTAGTCTGTTGAGGGTAACCAACTTTCTTTTCTTTGCTTCTATTATCAAATGCATGAGTATAAGATAATTTGTTTATGCAAATAACTGAACCCGGTTGGTAAGTGAACGGGTCGAAGTTATTGAAATAGAGTCAATATTTAAGTTCTTATTGTCTATCTTTTGTTGAGAGTGATAAGTGGTTATGTGTCACTAGACCCGCTCCGTACTGTCAGCTCCGTACTGTCAGAATATATCCCTCCTTCTCCAAAGAGGACGTGAATTTTTCCTTGTAGCTATTGCAGCACAGCAGCAAATTCAACCCACAACCCCATCCCCCGTCCCAGTCCAGGACGCGGTGGAAGACCAACCTGAACCCCCACCCAAGGAATTCCTGATTCCACACAGGATGAGGAAACTTTTTCTGCTGAAGGATTAAAAGAGATATCAGGGTCCCTATTAGTAGACTTGGCAAATAAAGCAGGAATAGATAAAATTTTCAGAGTCCCGGACCGGCAGGTAGAACCAGATACAAAGTGGCGATACAGACCAAGCAATATCCATTTCTCACTGTAGGAGAGACACGTTAATAATTAAATGTTTGGAAATAGAGGACATTGACTGTGTTACAAAATATTGTTCTGTTGGTGTTTGACATTCCGTTTTTTTTTTACAGCCATACCGTCTGATGCTGAATGTTTTTCAGTAATTGATTTAGCAAATGCATTTTTTAGCATCTTTGTTGATGCAGAGACACAGCCCATTTTTGCTTTCTGTTTAATGCCTCAGGGTTTTTGTAGATTTTTCTGTAGTCTACGCAACTGTTCTCCAGGCCACTCTGAGGGAGTGGACACCGGACTATGGGTCAGTCCTTCTGCAGTACGCAGATATCATCTGCTTCTGCAGTCTCACTAAGGGGGCCGGCCTGAGGGATGGGGAGAGTTTGTTGAAATGTCTTTTTTTGAAGGTGGACACAGAGGGGTTTGTTTGCTGAACCTGGTTGACTCGGAGTCTTGTCCACTTCTGCGTGGAGACCAATCGGCTTCCAGGTTTTATTTCTGAAGCTTAACTGAACATGCTGAGGTTGGAAGCTGATTGGCTGCCGTGCACGGGTGCCCGGGGTTCTGGGTCAGCCAGGTTTAGTGGATAGACCCCAAAGTGTCAAAGAAACTACAATGGTGTAAAACAAGTGTGTTGAAAAATCTGGGTTTTGTGTTTACAAAAGGAGGAGGAAAGGAAAGTCAGTCCAAAGAGAGCTGTGGCTCTCCTGAAACTTGCCCGCCCACAAACCAAGAAAGACATGCTCTCCTTTCTTGGAGCCATTGGTTACTGCCGCCAGTGGATACCTGACTGTTCTTATTATGATAAGTCACAACTCAGGAAATGTCAGAAATTGTTAAGTGATCAGATGACATGGTTGATGCATATGTGTATTTGAAAAATGCAATGGTAACTGCCCCAGGCCTAGCCTTCCTGACTATGTAAAAATGTTTCATGTGTATGTAAGGGACAATTGTAAGACCATGGCTGGTGTACTTGCCCAAGAGCATGGAGGCAGATCTCACCCTGTAATTTTTTTCTCAAAAATGGTGCCAGTTCAGGTCCAAGGCATGCCTGCGTGTCTCAAAGTGTTGGCATTTTACGTTATGACTGTGGAGATGTCTATGTCATTCACCTTAGGACACCCTATGATATTGCACACTACACATAATGTAGCTATTTTATTAAGAAATATACATACTCAGCACATGTCCTCCCAATGACTCAGCGGATATGAGATCATCTTGATGAGCAACCCCATGTTGCATATCAAGTATAGCACAAACAACCCAGGTCCAGCAATGATCCTAAACGCACTGTTGGGTCTCAAATTGTCAAACGATCTAGGACCCGAGACTCATGACTTCCTTAAATCCATTGAGGCTAATATTTCACCCAGACTAAATTTATCAAAGATTCCAATCCCAAATGCTGATGTTGTTTTCATAGATGGCTCCTGCACTAGGCCAAAAACCAATCCCTTTTCAATCAGCTCAGGCTGTTGCATTGATTGTTTTCACTAAAGCATGTGAACTGTACAAAGATCAGTCTGTCACTATTTACACGGATTCTAAATATGCCTATGGAATAGTGTATGACCATGGTGTATTATGGTTTCTCAGAGGCTACATAGGAGCTGATGGGAAAAAGATTGCCCATTCCCAACTATTAGCCAATTTGTTCAAGGTTCTCACACTTCCCAAGGAACTTGCTGTCATATCTCCTAGATTGTAAACTCGAAAGAGCAGGGCCCTCAATCCCCTCATGTTTTGCATTGTATTGGTATTGTTCTGTCACATGTTCTGTCCCCCTTTGTAATGTACAGCGCTGAGCAAACTATTGGCGCTTTATAAATATGTGACTGATGCAGGGAAACGCAGACTTCAGATATGTGATAAACAATACAATTTATTAACACTAACCATACAAACATAAACGCAGTGCAATACTAAACATAATACAGTGCAAACAAACCAAACCAAACCAAACCACCCACAGATAACAGTACATACAAGCAAGCGTCGTCAGGCAGGCCGGGTCAATATCAATTGGGCAGGTAGGTACAGGGGGAGCAAGCAGAGAATGGTCGGGGTCACAGGCCAGGTTCAGCAGGTAGCAAGCAGCGTAGTACAGAGGGTCAGGCAGAGGGATGGTCAGGGGTCACAAGCCAGAGATCAAAACAGGTAACAAGCAGCGTAGTACAGAGGGAGGCAGCAGGCAGAGGGACAGAAACAGGATGCAGGACAGATACAGGGCCCAGGACAAACACAACACCAAGGCAGAGTCTGTGGGTCTGGCCATCCCTTAAATACCCCAGCATCATCAGTTCCAGGTGTTAGCTGGCTGAAAGGTTGAGTCTCTGATTGCTGGGAGCACCCGCTGGCCAGCCCTGGTACTGCAGATCAAAAGGCAGGTGAGTCCCACCATTGCTGGCCAGTCCATTCCTAACAGTACCCCCCCCCCAAGGAGCGGCCTCAGGACGCTCCAAACAGTCCTAGCTGGGCAAAATGTTCCACCGCCCGGGTCTGGTAACTGGCGGGATATCAAAAGACACCGGGCACTCCCGGGCAGGACTCCGGGCAGCGGGCAGGCACCGGGCTGGACTCCGGGCAGAGGCACACCGGGCTGGACTCCGGGCAGAGGCACACCGGCAGAGGCACACCGGGCAGAGGCACATCGGGCGGGCATCGGGCAGGCACATCCGGGCAGAGGCACATCGGGCAGAGGCACATCGGGCAGAGGCACTCCGGGCAGAGGCACACATCCGGGCAGGACTCGGGCAGAGGCACATCGGGCAGGACTCCGGGCAGAGGCACATCGGGCAGGCTCCGGGCAGAGGCACATCGGGCAGGACTCCGGGCAGAGGCACATCGGGCAGGGCACACTCCGGGCAGAGGCACAGGCACCGGGCCCCCGGGGGGAGCAGCAGGCACCGGGCCCCCAGGCGGGCGGCCGGGCAGGGCCCCGGGGGGCACCGGGCAGGGGCCCCGGGCGGGCGGGCAGCAGCAGGCACCGGGCCCCCGGGCGGAGCGGCAGGCACCGGGCCCCGGGCGGAGCAGCAGGCACCGGGCCCCGGGGGGGCAGCAGGCACCGGGCCCCCGGGCGGGGCCCACCGGGCCCCCGGGGGGGGACAGGCACCGGGCCCCCGGGGGCGGGGCGCAGGCACCGGGCCCCCGGGCGGGGCGCAGGCACCGGGCCCCCGGGCGGAGCAGCAGGCACCGGGCCCCCGGGGGGGCAGGCAGCAGGCGGCGGGCCCCCGGGCGGGGGGCGGCACCGGCGTCGGGCCCCCGGGGCGGGGCGGCGGGGCACCGGGCCCCCAGGCGGGGCGGCAGGCATCGGGCCCCCAGGCGGGGCGACAGGCATCGGGCCCCCAGGGGGGCGACAGGCATCGGGCCCCCAGGCGGGGGGGCGACAGGCATCGGGCCCCAGGCGGGGGCGGCAGGGCGGCCCCCAGGCGGGAGCGACAGGTCTCGGGCCCCAGGCGGAGCGGCGGGCGCCGGACCCCCAGGAGGAGCGACAGGTCTCGGGCCCTCAGGCGGAGCGGCGGGCGCCGGACCCCCAGATGGAGCGACAGGTCTCGGGCCCTCAGGCGGAGCGGCGGGCGCCGGACCCCCAGGTGGAGCGACAGGGTCTCGGGCCCTCAGGCGGAGCGGCGGGCGCCGGACCCCCAGGCGGAGCGACAGGTCTCGGGCCCTCAGGCGGAGCGGCGGGCGCCGGCCCCCCCAGGCGGAGCGACAGGTCTCGGGCCCTCAGGCGGAGCGGCGGGCGCCGGACCCCCAGGCGGAGCGACAGGTCTCGGGCCCTCAGGCGGAGCGGCGGGCGCCGGACCCCCAGGCGGAGCGACAGGTCTCGGGCCCTCAGGCGGAGCGGCGGGCGCCGGACCCCCAGGAGGAGCGACAGGTCTCGGGCCCTCAGGCGGAGCGGCGGGCGCCGGACCCCCAGGCGGAGCGACAGGTCTCGGACCCTCAGGCGGAGTGGCGGGCGCCGGACCCCCAGGCGGAACGACAGGTCTCAGGCCCCCAGGCGGGGGGCGGCGGGCACCGAGTCACCAGGCACAACCGTGGGCTCCGAGTCAACTGGGATGACCGCTGGCACTGGGTCAGACATTGGATCGTCTGGCTGGACAGCGGGCATCGGGTCACCAGGCATCAGGTCATTTGGCTCGACAGCGGGCACCGCGTCATCTGGCAAGGCAGTGGGCTCCGAGTCAACTGGTATGACCGCGGGCACTGGGTCAGACATTGGATCGTCTGGCTGGACAGCGGGCACTGGGTCACCAGGCATCAGGTCATTTGGCTCGACAGCGGGCACCGCGTCATCTGGCAAGGCAGTGGGCTCCGAGTCAACAGGCACGACAGTGAGCACCGGGTCATCAGGTACCGGATTGTCTGGCTCGACAGCGGGCATCGGGTCACCAGGTATGACAGCGGGCACTGGGTCACCAGGCATCAGGTCATTTGGCTCGACAGCGGGCACCGGATCAGGTACCGGATCATCTGGATCAACAGCGGGCATCGAGTCAACTGGCCTAATAGGATCGTCAGGCTGGATCAGTTCATCATGGGTAGAGGCTGGGTAGAGGCATCAGGCTGAATGCGGCGGCTTCCGGCTGAGTAGAGGCTTCAGGCCGAGTAGAGGCTTCAGGCCGAGTAGAGGCTTCAGGCCGAGTAGAGGAGTAGAGGCTTCAGGCCGAGTAGAGGCATCAGGCCGAGTAGAGGCATCAGGCCCGAGAGGCATCAGGCCGAGTAGAGGCATCAGGCCGAGTAGAGGCCGAGTCAGGCATCAGGCCGAGTAGAGTAGAGGCATCAGGCCGAGTAGAGGCATCAGGCCGAGTAGAGGCATCAGGCCGAGTAGAGGCATCAGGCCGAGTAGAGAGAGGCATCAGGCTGCAGTAGAGGCATCAGGCTGAGTAGAGGCATCAGGCTGAGTAGAGGCATCAGGCTGAGTAGCATCAGGCATCAGGCAGGCAGAGAGGCATCAGGCTGAGTAGAGGCATCAGGCTGAGTAGAGGCATCAGGCTGAGTAGAGGCATCAGGCTGAGTAGAGGCATCAGGCTGAGTAGAGAGTCAGGCTGAGTAGAGGCTTCAGGCTGAGTAGAGGCTTCAGGCTGAGTAGAGGCTTCAGGCTGAACCACGGAAGGCAGGCTCACCGGTTTGGATACTGGCAGGATGGTATTGGTTGGAAAGAATTTTCGCTTTTTTCTGGTTTTAACTACTGGAGCACTGCAAGTAAACGCAGGTCTGCAAACGAATGGAGCAGCTGGAGACAGAGAAGAACTGGAGGATGGAACAGGAGAGGGAGCGGTTGCTACAGAGGGCTCTTTTACAGGGTTAAAGGCAGGATAGGTGCAGCGAGTGGGAACAGGGTACTGACATGCGGTAGATAGCAGGGCAGGAGGAGCTGTTGGGAATGCAGGAATAGAGTTTTGAGGAAATAGATTAGAAGCAGGACTGGGTCTTTGTAAGCTGACTGAGGCTGGGTGCAACAAATCTGTCCATGTCTGCAGTATGGGTTGAACAAAGCTGAGCTTACACAAAGCCTGTCTGGTCAATGACTGTACTGCGTTTATACAATCTCTTAGTGTCTGTGGTGAACATGTGGAATAACGCTCCAGAAAGTAACCCACATCATCCTCTAATAACCACACCAGGGACTCTACCTGGTCTGCACTAAATGGTGGCAAAAATTCATCCCTGCATTCGGGGGAACCAGATGAAACCAACTCAGCACAAACCTCAATCAAAGGCTGCACCTCAGAGAACTCTGTGCCCTGATCTACTAGAACATGAGCGAGCCGTATACATTCTAGCAGTTCATCCCGGGTATACTCCTTCAGAGTTTGATAAGCATACTCCCTGTCATCAAACACTAGCAGATATAAATATTCAACCTCATCAAGATCCATCCTTCCCATCAACAAGCCAAGATGGCTTCCCTGTGCAGCCACTTCTGGTCAGGATTGGCCTTGGTGTAATGTCAGGGCTCCCAGGTATGACCAGAGGTGTGTGACTGATGCAGGGAAACGCAGACTTCAGATATGTGATAAACAATACAATTTATTAACACTAACCATACAAACATAAACGCAGTGCAATACTAAACATAATACAGTGCAAACAAACCAAACCAAACCACCCACAGATAACAGTACATACAAGCAAGCGTCGTCAGGCAGGCCGGGTCAATATCAATTGGGCAGGTAGGTACAGGGGGAGCAAGCAGAGAATGGTCGGGGTCACAGGCCAGGTTCAGCAGGTAGCAAGCAGCGTAGTACAGAGGGTCAGGCAGAGGGATGGTCAGGGTCACAAGCCAGAGATCAAAACAGGTAACAAGCAGCGTAGTACAGAGGGTCAGGCAGAGGGACAGAAACAGGATGCAGGACAGATACAGGGCCCAGGACAAACACAACACCAAGGCAGAGTCTGTGGGTCTGGCCATCCCTTAAATACCCCAGCATCATACATACCCCAAACAAAAGGGAGGACAACAACCAGCTTGTGTGGTCACAGATGTGTTTTCCCGATGGCCAGAAATGTGTCCCACAAAAAGAGAACGATGTTATCCGCAAGTTTCTGTTTTTTTACAGGAAAATACCTACCCGTTCCAGGCCAGAGATCGTATTGTGGTGAAACAGCTGACAAGAAACAAGAAATAGCAGGATTTTGCCTATGGACCAGAAACTACTGTCGTAGCAGTAACCAGAACAGCAGTCCTCACTGAACCTGGATCCATGCTTCCAGAGCGAAGCTGGTCGAGAAAGGAAACCCCAAGGAAAACAGGAAAGGAGGTACTAACGGGGGCAGAAAGCCCTGACCTCGAACAGGACAATCAAGGAAAAAGGGTACTAACGGGGGTAGAAAACCCTGACCCTGAAGAAGATGAACTGCTTCCCCAATTTTGGACCATGGTTCTGACACTTTCTCCTGATCATACTGATTTTGTTGGCACCTAGCCATGGTGAAGTGGTGGTGATAATACAGGACTCAGGCCACAGCATATTGTGGTATAATTCATCAAATACTGAGGTTGCTACCTTCATTATTGATTACTGCCAAAGTGTACAATGTTCCCATAACTCCCACTTACTCTGGTTGTATAATATGTATCATACTGCACATGATGTTAGCCATGTATATATAGGATAGCCCTAGATATGATCCTAGCTAAGAAAGGTGGTACATGCAAAATACATAGACATGGTAGACATTTGTTGCATTTACATTCTAGACAACACAGGCCCAAATGGCAAAGTCACATTAGCCATAAAGAAACTCGAAGACTTGTCTATAGAGTTTAAGAAGAACTCTGGCTTAGACAACCCTTGGGATTAGTATTTTGGGTGGTTCACCAGCTGGAAACAGACACTAGTGCAGCTTGCTATTATTATCCTGATCATATTAGTTACCATAGGTTTTGTGGTTTGCTGCATCCTCCCGTGCATAAAGAAGCTTATGAACAAAGGAATAGGTATGACTATGTATGAAGAAGTGATCTAAGAACAAACTGTCCCACTAAATCCAAAACCTAAAGAGTACCACAGTTATCTAGCCAAATATAGAAAGAAGCAGAAAAAGAACTATGTTGTATAAGGGGGAATTAAAATCATATATGTAAATAATGATTTTAAGAGGGGATTGAAGGGAAATGTATGTTTTTTAGGTATGTCATTTTGTTTCCCCCCCACTCCATTTTGTATTTTGTACTAATATGTTGATTAATTGTTTTGTATTATACCCAGAATGAGTTAATGAAAATATGCTGTGTCAGTTATGTGTTATAGAATTGTACTCACAATATTCTTCTATTTCTAGCTTAGCCTTGGTAGAGGAGATAGTATCCAATTATTTCTTTATACTAACAGCTGTTTCTGTTATGATATACTGTAATTAAAAGTCAAATACTTCTGTCCCATGGGAAAATAATTGTTGGATACTTGTAACTGATTTCAAGGCCTGAGAAAGTCATGTTTTTATAGCCTTGACAAGTATCTAGCGAGATTCTATTGTATGTAGTAGATAAGTGTTTTTAAAACAATTTAGAAACTTTTTTTATTCCTGGGAAAGTTAAACTCCACTTCTCATCACTTTTCAGAATTGACGTCAATGTTGTCTTTTTGTATTCAGCCAATCAATTACTGACAACTCAGCTTTTTGATACTCTGTGCCCCCCACCTTTCTTTTTTCTGTTATATTAATTTTCTTCCCACTAATAAACTTGAGAGATTGATTTCAACTATCACTGTGTGTATGTGTATGTCTGTTGTCTTATCTGATGATGAAGTCAATCTTCCCGACACGTCGTACCTTCAACAGCCTGATAAAGACTGATAGCCAGGGGCTATCGACAACCTTTCATGGTCCAAGAAAGTGACAGATTTGTTCTTCCCCAGTGGGTCGAGAACATTTTTAACTAGTTTTGTCCGAAGTGTGGGGGCTTTCCTATATATAAATTTTGGATATTGGGTCAAAATATTATTTAAAATGGGGTCCATCCTCAACAGTGGCCAATGTTTTTTAAAAATTCTTTCTACCCTTTTATAATGTATATTATAGAATTATGGCCACCTGATTATCTTTAGCTACCTTATTGTCCCTAGTGTTATCCAGCAGTAACGACTCTCTTGGCATATCACCCACCATCTTACGTTTGGCCTCCACTTCCTTATATGTATACCCTTTGTCACAAAATCTGTCTCTTATTTTTTCAGCTTGTTCCATATATACTTCCTTGTCCGTACAATTCCTTCTCAATCTAACAAATTGTCCCTTGGGGATGTTACAGAGCCAAGGAGGAAAATGGCAACTGTCCCAGGGACTATAGCCATTACGGTCCACATTTTTGAAAAACGATTTTGTATTGATAATTCCTTCATTTACCGTATTTTTCGCTCCATAAGACGCACCTGACCATAAGACGCACCTAGGTTTTAGAGGCGAAAAACAAGAAAAAAAAAAATATTCTGAACCAATGGACTGCAGACACAGTACAGGGGATGACCAGAGACTGCGGACACAGTACAGGAGATGACCAGAGACTGCGGACACAGTACAGGGAATGACCAGAGACTGCGGACACAGTACAGGAGATGACCAGAGACTGCGGACACAGTACAGGAGATGACCAGAGACTGCGGACACAGTACAGGGAATGACCAGAGACTGCGGACACAGTACAGGAGATGACCAGAGACTGCGGACATAGTACAGGAAATGACCAGAGACTGCGGACACAGTACAGGGGATGACCAGAGACTGCGGACATAGTACAGGGGATGACCAGAGACTGCAGACAGTGCAGGGGATGACCAGAGACTGCAGACAGTGGCTCTGAGGAAGAGGCAAGTCCTCGAAACGCGTCAGCCTTTTGGATGTCTAAACTCCCTATTGTGGACTGTTACTCAGCGCGGTGTTGATCCAGCTGTTCTTCTATGATGTGCCTTGACTATATTGTCGTTTGTGAGTACAACACCTACTTTATTTTTTATTAAACATTTTTTATGGTAATGCACTAGGCCTGTGCGCCCTCTTTTTGTTCTTTCCCCATTCAGTATATTTGGATTCCCCCGGTCCATTTGAGGGCAGCAAGGTGTGCATGTTCCAGGACATTCTTAATGTGGTTGTAGCATCGAGTCCATCCCCAAGCGCAGGAGCATTTGTGTGACTGCAGACAGTGCAGGGGATGACCAGAGACTGCAGACAGTGCAGAGGATGACCAGAGACTGCAGACAGTACAGGGAATGACCAGAGACTGTAGACAGTGCAGGGGATGACCAGAGACTGCAGACAGTGCAGGGGATGACCAGAGACTGCAGACAGTGCAGGGAATGACCAGAGACTGCTGACCTTTGGGGAGGGAGGGGGAGCGGGTACCTGAATTTGACAGGTACCCGCTCCCACTTCCGAGGAGTTGTCCTTCCCTCTTCTTCCCGGGCCGGCTTCTGTGACAGCCGGGTGCCCACTGCGCATGCGCGAGAAGGGCTGCGCTTTGTGAATGGCCCAGCGCTTTCTGGGACCTGTCATGTGTCCCAGAAGACACCGGATCATTCACAAAGCGCAGCACATGCGCAGTGGGCGGCCCGGCTGTCACAGAAGCCAGCGCGGGAAGACTGTGCAGCGCTGGAGCGAGGAACAGGTAAGGCCCTGCAGGATAGAACAGCTGAGCGGCTGGCCCGGTATTCTGACATGGTGACGGCAGAAATACCGGACCGGCCGTTTTATATTCGCTCCATAAGACGCACTGACATTTTCCCCCCTTTTTTTGGGGGAAAAAAGTGCGTCTTATGGAGCGAAAAATACGGTAGATTGATTTCCAAATCCAAAACCTGGATCCGCACATCACTGACCTCCCAAGTTAATTTTTATATTTTTATTGTTAGAATTGAGTGAATCTAGAAACATAGATAGAAACATAGATAGGCCACTGTTGAGGATGGACCCCATTTTAAATAATATTTTGACCCAATATCCAAAATTTATATATAGGAAAGCCCCCACACTTCGGACAAAACTAGTGAAAAATGTTCTCGACCCACCGGGGAAGAACAAATCTGTCACAAATCTGGACCATATTGGTTTTTATCCCTGTAAGAGGTGCTTTGCCTGTAAAGAGACGAGAGGTACTAACACGAGGCGTAAAACCTTTATAACCACCCATAGTGGAGAGGAATTTAAGATCAGATACTTCATTTCATGCAAAACGGAAGGGGTGGTATATGGCCTACAATGTAAATGTGGGTTGCAATATGTGGGTCGGAGAAAGAAACCATTATGGAAACGTATTTGTGAACATATACAGAACATTAAAAAAGGTTTCCCGAAACATAATGTTTCAAAGCATTTTTCTGATTCATCATAATAAGGATTCTTCTTCTCTCCAATTTTGGGGGATTGAAAAATATAATGGCCATTGGAGGGGCAGTCACAAAGTTAGGTCACTCAGTAGAGCCGAATCAAAATAGATTTTTTTAATGCAAACTTTGACACCTAAGGGTCTCAATGTGGAGTTTGACCTTAACTGCTTCATCAGTGACTATTAGGAATGGAACACATATATACACATATTTAGATTTTAGATTTTTATAGGAGGAAGGATTTCCCGCACCTTCTGATTATTTATGGTAAAGATTGCAGGTATTTTAGCCTATTCTTTCTATGATGAAGGCTGTCCCGCACCTTCATGATTTTATATATATATATATATATACTCTTTGCAAATTCCCATGAAATTAATTTAGATTTAGATTACCCTTCTGAGGGGATTTTTGCCATTTAAAGTGGTTTGGTTTTAAATATTAAAGTTAGGGTTTTTGTTTTTTTCTGCCAGTTATAAGGACATAGTGGGCATTAATGCATCGCTGCAAGTAGTGTATTGTGCTCAGTTATCATGGCTGCGGTGGGCGTCTTCCCACTGGGCAGGGTGACGCCCCTGCAGCCTATAAATGGCTGATGTGTCAGTATGGGCGTTTCACTCTGAGGAAGTCACGTGGATCGTGACGTAAACGCGTTAAGGTACGCCCTGACATCTTTTTTTCCGGTGGCGCGGTGATGTCATTTCCGGCGTCGCCGCCATTTCTGGAGGGATTGTGGAGCAAGTGGAGCTGCATGCATTTCTTAGCATGAGAACCATGGAAACACACCCATGATATGGGAAAAAGCTGATCTTTGTCATTTTACATGTGAGTGGGCATTTTATTTATATTCATGTTATTATTAAAACTGGATTACACTATGGAGGATCTTCTTTGTTTTAATGGTATCTTAAACGGTTTTGTGGAATCGAGTACCTAGGAGATAGGAGAAGATATTGGAGGGATCTATCCATACGTTCCATCCTTTGATGATACCTTATTGGGTGTATAAGGTCACCTACATAGGTGTTTGGCCCAGTGGGTCGCATCAAGGAGGTGAGGGGCCATCTTGGCCATCTGTGGATTGACTGCACACTGAGTGGCACTGTGATCACCTCACAGAGTTTTGCTGTGATTTTTCACCATCGTTGGCATTTATGGACTGCTGCACATAGTATTCATTTTTTGAGCACCTAACACTGAATATTTATTGTGCATTCTATATGTGATATTTCCATTTATCTCATTTGTATTTTAGTATAGTTTGTTAGCACTGCACTATTTTTTGTATTTTTATGTTCTTTCCTTGTGGTTGAGGCGAGTGTGTGCTGCTTATTAATAGGTGTTCCATTGACCGCAGGAGTTTTTTTCATTATCTAGTAATTCTGATGCTAGCCACCAACAGCTAACAAGAGATAACAAAAGATTACAGGAGGAAATTGATCAGTTAGTAGATAGATTGAAGAATGCAGAAAGTGAAGTGAATCAATTCTCTGTTGACTGCCAGAAGCAGTTCTCTCATTTTCCAGTTAGAGTAGATGATAAAAAGACTGATTTAAGTATTTGTGAATTCAGTGGGAAATCAACCGCCCCTCGTGTATGTGACAATATCTGTAAATCTCTGGATGGTAAGAGCGATTGCAAAGTTGCCCCTTCATCTTGTATGCAGCCAGAAAAAGTTGCTAATCAGGTGTCAGTCACTGAATATTCTCAGTCTAAACCAAAGCCATTAGTTGATACATGCCATACCACCTTAGAAAAGATCAAATGTTGTGCATGTGGATTATTTGGCCATATTGCTCGATTTTGTCTATCCTCTTCTGCTGGAAAGGTAGTGAAACAAAATCCATATAGAACAATGAGACGTGATGTTGAAGTGTATTCAGCCTGCTTTGGAACATGGCCGAGGTCTACAAAGTATGAGCAGCCGAGATCATGGGTTCCATTTCAGCATATTAAGGGAGAAAATGAATCTATACAGGCTGAGGATAAGCAACTGAAACGGGATGAATCATTAAAGGAATCTTAAACTTCCAAAATAGATTTTATGGAAGTAAAAAGAAAAAGTCCAGGTTATTGGGGAAGACATGCTGATGTCTGTGGTGTCTAAAGTTTGTGTTTAAGATAACAAAATTGTAAGAGTGTGTTTATAGAATGTTGTCTGGTCTGAAGGTAACTAGAATGTTTGTTTAGGTTTCAAAAATCTAATGTCTTCTCAGCTGCTGAAAGACAACCAACAACTGACCCCCCTCCTGTATAGCCAGATCTGTCAGTGGAAATGACTCTATTCATATTCAAATATACTTTAATGTCTTTGTTTTTCTAGAAAAACAAGTTTTGAAGAATTTCTTTGGTGAAGTACAACATTTTGTAAATGAATGGTAATGCTAAAATGTTTGTTTTTGAGATGCTCATTTTTATTTTAACCATGGTAAACAATTTTTTTTGGATATTAATGGTATACCAGAAACAAAATCCACATGGTAATAATTAGTGACGTCAACAATTTTTGTAATAGAAAAAGTGCACTCTTAAAACAGCTAAGAAAAGGGTTTTTTTTTTAAAATACACACTGTAAGCTGTGTTGGTGTTGTAAAGTCCCTAACCATTGGTTTATTTTTTTAGTAGGTGAAAAATTGAATGCTTTATTACAAAATTTTATTGGTGTTTTACCTCACAGGTTTTGGCTTTCAGGGCTTTCCGAACAGAAGGTGATCATGTCATTCCATATATTGTCTTTTTCCTGCATTGTCTGTTTTCACGTGTACAGGTGAAACTCGAAAAATTAGAATATCGTGCAAAAGTTCATTTATTTCAGTAATGCAACTTAAAAGGTGAAACTAATATATACATTACATGCAAAGCAAGATAGTTCAAGCCGTGATTTGTCATAATTGTGATGATTATGGCTTACAGCTCATAAAAACCCCAAATCCACAACCTCAGAAAATTAGAATATTACATGCAATCAATAAAACAAGGATTGTACATAGAACAATATCGGACCTCTGTAAAGTATAAGCATGCATATGTACTCAGTACTTGGTTTGGGCCCCTTTTGCAGCAATTACTGTCTCAATGCGGCGTGACATGGAAGCTAAGCCTGTGGCACTGCTGAGGTTGTTATGGAAGACCAGGATGTCTTCTGCATTGTTCGGTCTCATGTCTCTCATCTTTCTCTTGGCAATTCAGGGGTTCAGGTCAGGTGAGTTTGCTGGCCAATCAAGCACAATAATCCCACGGTCATTGAACCGGGTTTTGGTGCTTTTGGAGGTGTGGGCAGGTGCCAAGTCCTGCTGGAAAAAGAAGTCAGCATCCCCATAAAGCTCGTCAGCGGAAGGAAGCATGAAGTGCTCCAAAATCTCCTGGTAGACAGCTGCGTTGACCCTGGACTTAATGAAGCACAGTGGACCAACACCAGCAGATGACATGGCTCCCCAAATCAACGCAGACTGTTGATACTTCACACTGGACTTCAAGCATCTTGCAGTGTGTGCCTCTCCATTCTTCCTTCATACTCTGGGTCCCTGGTTTCCAAATGAGATGCAAATGTTGCTCTCATCAGAAAAGAGGACTTTGGACCACTGAGCAACAGATCAGGTCTGTTTTTCTATAGCCCAGGTAAGACGCTTCTGACGTTTGTTGTTCAGGAGCGGCTTGACAAGAGGAATACAACATTTGAAGCCCATGTCCAGGATCCGTCTGTGTGTGGTGGCTCTTGATGCACTGACTCCAGCCTCAGTCCACTCCTTGTGAAAGTCCTCAAAACTTTTGAATGGCCTTTTCCTGACAATCCTCACCAAGCTGCGGTCATCCCTGCTGCCTGTGCACCTTTTTCTTCCATACTTTTACCTTCCATATAACTTTCTATTAATGTGCTTTGATACAGCACTTTGGGAACATCCAACTTCTTTTGCAACTAACTTTTGAGGCTTTCCCTCCTTATGGAGGGTGTCGATGGTTTTCTGCACAATTGTCAGGTCAGCAGTCTTTC